CCAACCATCCACCCTAACGGCCTATGATTCCTGGAGCGAAACAGTCATTCTTGGTATTTCTTCAGGCACGAAATAGGTCATCTGGTTTTACATGCGGAGTATCCAGATATGCTGTGCCAAAGTGGTCACCTCATTTACACCCTCTTACTAGAATGACTAGAATCTTTTCGTCTTACCGAGTAGATGGAGGCTGAATCCTCTAATATTGACGATGAAAAACACAGTCCTGTCGGGCTGTCCTGTCTACTAACAATCTAGTATTGTGGGTGAAAAAACAGTGTCCTGTGGGGCCGTCATGTCTACTAATGACTGGGAGAGCAAAGAAGAAAAACACAAAGAAGAAAAACACAGTCCTGTCAGGCGGTGCTGTCTACTAATCTAGTATTGTAGATGTAAAACACAGTACCCTGTCGGGCTGTCCTGTATATTAATGACTAGGGGAGTGAGGCAATCGGTAATGGCCCAGAAGAGGAACTAGACTATCCCAAAAGAGGGAAAAAACAAGACCTGGAAAACTGCGTGATTTGCCCGCTCTGGGTGATGGGGCTGGTTGGAGTCTGTAGGCTGGGAGCAACACTGACCCTCTTGAGCACTGGCGCTCTTGAGGTTGGAAAACTGCGTGATTTTCCCGCTCAGGTTAGAGTCCGTAGTCTCAGGGAAACCTTCCAAGTGTCATTCAGTAGTATTGATCCACGTTTTCAAGAGGGTTGATAAGTGACAGCCTTGGTGTGCTGGTCGTAAAGATGGAATTGAGTAGTGATGCGGGAAGCATTTTTTGTGCATACTACTGCACACTCGTACTATATTTCCGAGGACGGTTTGGATAGAATATTCATTTGCGAAATCAAGGGGAAGCATTTTTTGTGCATACTACTGCACACTCATACTATATTTCCGAGGACGGTTTGGATAGAATATTCATTTGCGAGATCAAGAACGTATGTTGGAATTCATGTAAAGTAGATCAATAACGTATGTTGGAATTCATGCTAAGTACGTCTTCGTTTCTCTTCTTCATTGTCATGGTTGCGAATGGCTGGTGGACAGTGGGTTCAAAGGACTTGCCAGTCGTTAACAGAGCTCCTCTATCAAATGTGCTCTTTACATTGACCAGGACTTCCTCCATCGCCTGACATGCTGCAACTAGTGGGCTGCCTATGGTGGCCAGCTCTTATGGCACTGCGAACTCCGGACCTTATGGGATGGCCTATAGCTTCCAGCTAGAGAGACGGTAGCTTTTGAGAGGAACATTTCTATTGCATTCCCTCTCTTATGGCACTGTTGAACCCCCGAGGTCCCAGCTCATTGCTCTGCACCATTTCTAGAACCGCTCTGTACCATTGCATTATTTTCATTATTTACCAGTGCCTTGTATTATTGCATTATTCTTCCATGTCAATGTCTATCAGCACGTAGAAGTTGGTATGATGAGGTGGCCTGGCAGAAGTTCTACCTGGTGTTCTGTGGCTCAGTCAGAAGGAGAAGGCCCATCTCTAATGTGGCAATTCCCTTGTTGAATGTAGCGCGAGAGAGTTGCGGTATTATTGAGATCAAACGCGGACGCAGATATGCGGGCAATGTAAGCTTATAAGAACCTTGATGAATCACATAACTTTGAACTGCCAGAAGCTCTACCTGGTGTTCTATGGCTCTGTCAGAGGAGAAGGCTGACCTCTAATGTGTCAATCCCCTTATTGGGGCACGGCGGAGTTTTTATTATTGAGATCCAACGCGAACTCAGATATGTGGGCCATGTAAGCTTATAAGAACCTTGATGAATCACGTAACTGTGAGCGTGACGTGGGTACACCCAATGAGCCTGACAAGAGACATAACAGAGAACGTGATATACGGGCAAACCTATTGAGGATGGCAAATGACATAACTGTGAGATGGGACAACTAATGAGCATGACAAAAGAAACGTATCGGGGATGAACATGGGTGCATGGTGTGCTGAGATAGAATTGTCTGCACGTGAATCAAACAAACTGTCCTCACCACAGTATTCACAACTCAGAGTTAACTGGCATGTTAAAACAGAAGGTGAGAAAATGCATCCATTCTGTTTATAGTACTTTATACTAAGCACGTGTATCTTGGCAAGTCCTGTGTGAAGATCCCTTCACCATTCTTTCACGTTCTGTGGGTAGTGTGGGGACACCCAGATTCTCCCCAAGGTAGACAGTCCTATGTCGTGGCACAACCCTGCATTTGGTTTTTGTGTTAGCAAAAGTAGTTCACATCGCACCATCACCAGGAAGGGTCAAACATGAGTTGCATGGATTTCCGGAGCAAAAAGGAGTATCCAAATAACAATTTATTCTCTTATCTCGCTGTGTAACAAGGTGTGGGTTGATGGCATAGAAGGTGAAATTACTAGTTGGGCGAAGCTCTCTCACAACCTTACTCTGAAACACTCGCAGATAACTGGCTGCTCATGAAGCAACTGCGGCTATCCCCGCCATGACGCGGATTCAACCTGGGCTGGGCACAAAGAA